GACCTTACGACCCTATTGACCTCAAGAAAGGTCCGAAAGACACTTTGGACGCCCCCCACCTCGCACTTGACCCAGTCATAGCCGGGAATACCCGGCTCCGGGCCCTGGGGCGGATCCCTCTTTTCGGCGGTGGCTTTCCCAGTAGCCACCGCCTTACCACGAGTCTTGCCCCGAGAAGGCGCAGAAGAACCGGCACCACTTCCCCCAGCCATGAAAAAGACAAGAAAGACTGAAAGAAGGTTGGGGAAGAGGGAAGAAGAAGATTGTAGAAAGGAAGTACCTGGTACTCTCCCTCAAAAATCAACCCTAATAGTGACTGGGTCACCGGAAACGACGGCAGAAACGGAGAAGACGGAGACGGAAGACAAGCAGAAAAGCGAGAGCAACGGCGTGCACAAGAAGCCACAAGGATGGAAAAGAGCAAAGTGAAAAAGGCCAAGAGGCGCGAGTGAGAGAAAAGAAAAAACTCTCCCCCAGAATTTCAAAACGGTCATGACACGTGTCACCCAAGGGACACGCCTGACCACGCATTAAATGAGACCCCTTATGACAGAGGAAGCCATCATTGCATAACCGTCATGACCACTAACGCGAGTTTCGAAATACGAAACGACTTTTGCACGCATGGCATCTTGACAGGCGGACATACGCGAAGGGTGACTTCCCCCTGGCGAGCTCGGTCTTAGCTCCTCGACCTACGGTCTTCGGAGCTCGGGGGGCTAGTGTACTGACCGTACGGCGAAGCCGAGCTCCAAGCTCGGTATCACAGTGCAAGATGATCTCGGGCACGTGTCATACGACGTCAGCTCCCCATTCAGGTGAATTACAACTGATTCCCGAGAATCTCGCCCAGACGAGGTCCATTATCTAATTACTGATCACCGAAGATCTCGCCCCAGACGAGATCCGCTATCATATCTTATCTCAGGCCCACAGCCCAAAGAAACCCTAATTCACTCCAAGGTACGTGCATTACTTATACGAGACTATTACTCATACAAACCCTAACTTTAGCATCGGAGTCTCTTTTGCAGGTACCATCCCCATCTTGGAGCACCAGTGTACTAGTGAAGGAGGCTCACCGATCTTACTTGGAAGATCGTCCATACGACAAATTCTGGTAAGAATATATTATATTATATTGTAATTTGTGAAATATACTGGAATGAGAGAGATCCAAAGATTGTACAAGTATGAGATTGTATAGTTGAAGATGATTTAAAGGAATTAATTTGTACTATTTATACCAATGAGATGCATCTACTCTTTGGTAGCTTATTCCTTAAGAACTTTACAGTTAAGCATGCTTGACATGGGGTAATTTAGGGATGGGTGACTTTTTGAGAAGTTTTTCAAAAAAGTGTGCAAGTGACGACAAGGCATGCTGAAAAGTCTTGTGTTAATTTGTGGGATTTTTAGGGTCAATCTTTGATCCTAAAAGCATACGAATATCTCAAAAAGGGTTAACCATGGAGATCTCTGATTGGTGAAGGGTTCTGATCAACGAGGAGTTGCGTGAAGTGTCATGGAGTGGAGATGCTGAAAGGTTAGATATGAGATATGGTTGCACTAAATAAGGATGTTATTTAATATAATTTCAAAATAATTTTTTAAAAATATTATCAATAATACCCACAAATAAAATCCATGGGTAAATTACCCATAGATAAAATTTGTGGGTATTTCCATCGGAAAGTTACCTACGGATTATAATCCGTCGGTAAATATTTTAGACGAGTAATTTTTCGACGGATTATTGTCCGTCTATAATCTGTGGGAAATAAAGTGTTATCCACAGATTTTTTGGATTACCTATGAATTTTGATCATCTGTAATTTCAAAATTTCTTGTAGTGGTGGTTGGATTTTAAGTTTCCTACCAATCAATTTGCAAAATGAATTGTGGCTTTGAGTAATTATGATATGATCTCTTAATTGTTCTCAATTTTTTTAAAATAAAATAATTTTATTACTTATATTAAATATTTAAGATTTAACAACTTAAATATTTATACTTCATAATAATAATGTAATTAAAATATCATTCAAAAAAATATATTATAAATAGGGTTTTAAAATTTTATAATTAAATATTATATAGTTTCATTTTAGTTTACAAAAAATATTGTAAATAAAAATTTTTAAGCATTAAAACATTGTACTTAATCTCTATTTATTTTAAAAGATATGACAACTAGAAATTTAGACTATTATTTTAAAGTTAAGATAATAATAATAAAATTGAAAATATTGTATAAAAATTTAAGATATTACATTTTTTTATCTATGATCTAACATGATCCAATAATGATGATGATGATGATGATGATGATGATGATGATGATGATGATGATGATGATGATGATGATGATGATGATGATGAATTGATAATGATATAATAATATAATATATTTATTTTAAATTTATTTATTAATTAATGTTCAATTTTGAGTTGATAATAATATAGCAAATCAACAAATTTATTTTAGAATTTAGTTTATATCATTATTTGTTTTATAGGTTGATCACTTTGTGTTTGTAGCACGGTTTCAACAAGTGTCTTTCTGACAATATAGCTCACCTTAAACTGACCAAATTGTGTTGGAAGAAAAATCAGAACTAAATGCACCAAGTCCTTAGAGAGTTCTAACTTAAGTGTTTTTAGTTTTGAAGCAATATGAGACATTTCCATGAAGTACTCCCTAATGTTGCCCTTATCGGTATACTTTTTTGAAATTAGGTTTGCCAATAGTGTACCTATCTTAGACTTTTCATTCTTAACAAACCTGTTTTTAATTTCTGCAAGGAACTCCTTAACTATATTTATATTTTTAGATATTGTGCCTCGGAATGCTTCTAGAATGGCCTTCTTCATGATCACTAGACTCATGCGATTTGACTTCTCCCACATTTTCATTTCCCTTTTATTTTCAAAGGTACTCATATCCATAAGATCAGGTGGGGTGAGTCTATCCTTAACACAAGGTCAAGATCCATTACTCCAAGAACTATCGAGACATTGTCTTTTCAAGACTTGAAGTTTGAACCATTTAGTACAATAATAAAGTTGACATTAGTAGTAATATTGATAGGATTATTCTTAATTGAATTGAGAACAACAAACAAAATACATATAAGTCTCAAAAATAAAAAGTAAATTCAAATACAAATAAATCCCATTACAAGATATTGATAATATATTAACATTTTATCTTTGAATACAATTTTAACTATTCAATGATACTTTGACGTAGTAATAAAATACTAATAATAAGAACATGTCAAATAATACCTTTTTTTTGGGTTGATTTAATATTTACATGCAAAAACTAAAGAATTATTACACATTTATCATCACAAGTACACATGTTATAATGTAAAATACTAACCTTCCTTTAAGCCGACAAGTACACACATAATTAACAATATCACAACCTTTTATATTTTAAAATAAATTAATTTTCACAAGAGAGGTCACTTTTGTGACATGTTATTTCAATTAATTAATACTAAAATAATATAAACTTTTTTTTTCAATATTTAAATTTAAAATTTAAAAATCGAATGCAATTATTATACAATAAATATAAGCTATATGTATTAAAATTGAATACATTCCTTACAAACAATTAAAAAAATTGATTATATCAAACCTTCACATACAAATCGATATGATTAACATATATGTTACAACCGATATAAAAGTTGAATTTTTTTATTTTATAATAACACATAATTATTAAAAAAAAGTAATATATCACTTTAAAAATGAATATAAACACAATAATGCAAACATATACAAACGTTCGACATAATATATAATATATCAATTTAAACACGAATTAAATTCATAACTGAAACCAAATCAATTATAATACGTAACATATCAATTTTTTTTTTTAAAAATTGAATTAAATTCTTAACTAAAATCAAAATCAATTATCATAATCGAAATTAAATTGTAATATTCCAAGAATATGCTAGAATTAATAATTGTCCACATAATAAAATATTCAAGCAATTATAAATTTAATTTAATTGACTATTATGTATATGAAATGCTAAGTTTAATAATTTTATGATTATCTGTCAATTTAAATTAATGAAACGAGATATCAAATAATTTTTAAAATTTTAAAAAAATTACAAAGTTAATCTCTCTCTCTATATATACATATATATATATATATATATATTTATCTAGACTTACTCTATTTAATAACTTATATTTTATATCAAATTTTAACGATTTAACTGTTAAATTAAAAGTTTTAATATATAGATCAACTCTATAAATTTTTAAAAATTCAAAAATTATTTAATATTTCATTTTATAAACTTAAATTAATATATAATATATTTTTATGAATATGTTAATTTAAGTTAATCTAATGAAGTTTCATATATAAGTATTTTTCCTGTTAGATCATTATATTACTATTGTCACTACCACCATTATCATCACTAATTATTGTTTTCATATTACAACTATTGTTGTTCTCATCATGTTGTTGTTATTATTACTGTTGACACCACCAATACCACCATTATTATGGTAGTTGTGGGATGACATCAGTAATGATGTTATAGGAGTTTTATTTATAATTGAGTTTAAATTTTAACTATTAATTATTTTTGTCTATAATCTAAAATTTAATCATATCATCTTTCATAATAAAACATGCTCTCATTAAATATATTTTGTATGTGTGTGTGGAAATCAAGTAATTTCAAAATGTAACTCATTATGAAGAAACTTTATTCATTAACTCCTTTTATTTATATATATATATATATATATATATATATATATATATATATTAAATTTTAACAATTTAATAATTAAATTAGTAGTTGTTATTTAATAGTTTACAAGTCGTTAGTAAAATTCGATTTAAAATTTTTATCTAACACAAAAGTTAATTAAAGTTGTTTCAACTCAAATTGAAGCATGAGAAAAATTACTTAAAATCACGGTATTAAACGTAATTCTTGAAAAACTAATATGAAACCAAACATGCACTAAAAATGAACACACCAAACCCTGTCCATTCTGCTCGAAGTACAAGATTCAATTTAGTTTCATAATTAACGTAAGTAAAATTATTTGGAAGCTCCTTTAATTGGAAAGATCAGACAATACAACTGCCTTCCCTATTTCTATGGCCAAATTCTTCAAGTCAGCATAATCATTCATGTCGTGAAGAATCAAAAGTAGTGCCACTACGAATGCGTAGTCCACGTAGCGGTTGACCCATACATGGAAGCCACCATTGTTAACCATCTATAAAAGAAAAGAGCAACAAATTCATTAGTATTAAAATGGTAAATAGTTAATTAAATGTGTACCTCGATCGTCTATATATAGAAGCACATAACAGTAACACAATATATACCGCGGCAGCTACGTTACTAGATTCACCGACATAAACAGTGCATGAGCTTTTAGCTTGACCAACGATGACCCTAAAATCACAGTGACTTTCTTTTTTGTTGTTAGCGAGGAACACTTCTAATTTAATCAGACTACTCATTGACGATCTCTTCACCGAAAAGACAAGCTGAGAGGGATCACTGCTTTTACCCCGGAAAACATTGCATCGCCCGTGCATTGTCATATGCTACATAAATAGAAATCAAGAAAAATAAGAATATTACTAGCTAAAATGAATTTTAATGAAAAAAAAAATTGATTGGAAGTATTGAATTGATTTAAGCTAACTAGTTGAAAGAATGTAGTGGATGAGTGTAAGAAGCCTCAGCAGCCAAACCTTCTTGTATAATAATATGGATAATAAATTAATAGCTATAAAATGAAAATCTTAACGAAGGATTTTTTTCCAGCAAACAAAAAAACACTTTCATTAAAGGGTATCAGGACTACCCTGATTGGATTAAAAGTGACCAAGATGTATTATTAGAGCTCATAAATGGGTACACAATATTAAATATGCACTTAATATAATATAATGTAACCGATTGCCACTAAACTTACCCACCAATATTTACTACTAATAGAAACTATCAGTTTGCATAATTTAATGATATATACAAGGATTCAAAAGACGAGTAAAAATCATAACACCAACTCCAATGCAATTCTAGGATTTGCAATCAAGTTTCTTCAAATACACCGAGTTTAAACAATTATTCCAATTCTTTTACTAATGCAAGCAGTAGGATTATAACGTATCACTGCTCAAGTATGTAGCTAAAGTCCCCTATCAAACCTGAGAGTCACACCCATGCGCAAAACATAAATTTTCTTCATAAATCTTCCTTATCAAATGAGCCATTATTAAACTTGTAGTAATTTCCTACCTTCCATATATTCCACACAAAAGCCACCCACATGACTTTTCAATTGTCGTTATTAGAGCGTGAATCTAAGCACGAGGGAAACTGTACAAAATGCTCTGTCATAGTCCCAGCAAGAACAGATATGTCCCCAACTCAATCTAAGCACCTTCTCCACAGTGGCACAATAACATTGCATTAAACAAAAATATGTTCAACTGTCTGGCTTATTACCCACAAAATACACACCTATCTTCAGCTGTAAATAACAAGATGTTTATTCTCTTTAAATTATCTCAAGAAGGTAATCTATCTTTTAACAATCTCCATAGAATTTTTTTTGCCTTTTGCGGTATAGCTAACCTCCATATATTGGGGGCCCAAAGAATCATCTCCAACAACATTACACATATTATTAAGAGCATGATAAGCCGAACTGACAGTGTAAGAATTCGATTTAGCAAGGTCACAACCACCTATCCCTCTTCAACCTATTTAAGCTACAATTCTGCACCATCATCTCCCACCTATGGACAAGGTCGTTCTCCCACTCAAACCAGCAGCATCGCCACCTGAAGTCCCACCTCCAATTGTCCTCCACCTAAGACTCCATCAACTTAATAGAAGTATTCTTTTGTGAAAAGCTATAAAATACTCTAGGAAATAGAGAAGCTAAGTTTTTAGACTCTAGCCATCCATCTTCCCAGAACTTTGTATCACCTCCATTACCAACCTCCACACCAACAAACTCTTAAATCATCTTGATTCATCACCCACCCCACATACCTTTTCAAGATCCCACCACCACAACGAGTCATGCCTATTTACCTCCTCCATAAGACCCCTCCAACCACCGTACTTGGACTCAATAATTTGTTTCTAATTAAAGAGACTTTTCATGATTAAACAACGACCATCTCCATTTGCCAAACAATGTAACATTAACCAATCCTAAATCTTTAACCCCTAAACCACCCTTATTTTTTAGATGGCAAATTACATTCCGCTTCACCCAATTCATCTCTTTTCTACCCTCATCACCACCTTGCCAAAATTCTCTTTATTTTTTTTCAACAATTAAGGGCATTTTAGAAAAAGGAGATACAGAATAGAGGCAAGAATGATAGTACCGGGTTTATGAGCATAATCTCCTGACAAAAAAATATCACTTTATTCTTCTATCATGATATAATTTCTTCTTGAATGTAAACACTATATAGGTTTCCAAAATTCCTCTTCTTTGGATTACCATCTACCACTAATCCCAAATAGTTAAAAGAAAACTTCATAACTCTATAATTTAATATCTCCACAAAATCTTTCTACCATATTCCTCTCCACACTAATGGTACCAAAAGAATTCTTAAAGAAATTATCTTTAAGACTAGATATAAGTTCAAAATGAAGGATTTAACGAAGTTTAACGAAATTAACCTTGGCACCAAATTAACCTCCAAGAAATTTAACGAAAATTTTTTCCGGGGATATTGAATTAATTAAGCTAACTAGTTAAAAGAAGGAACTTAAACTCTTGGTTTCAAATTGGAGTATTATATATTAATATGGTGGTGTATTTTCCATAGTGATGTAATTTTTAGTCTTCTTTTACTTGACTAGATTATGTATTAGGGTTAGTACCATACTACTCTAATTAATTTGTTTTTTCTTACTAAAAAGATGAAGAAAAAAAAAAGTGAATGATGAGTGTGAGACAAACCTCCTTGTATAGAGTGACGATGGGGTTTCCACTGTTATCGCACAAGACACGACGGTGGTGAAGTGTGAAAAAAGTATCTTGAACATGAAAGACACGGTCACCTTTTATGTCGTAAGTGTTACCTTTCTCTGTATTGATTTGTAGTTGGAGAGGATAAGGCGCGCAGTAGGAAGGACCGATAACTGGGATCCATTGATTTTCCATTGGAGAGGGAGGTGTATGTGTTGCAGAAGGAAACACGAGTCTTTTGGTGTATATACTGATTTGCAGAACATGTTCTATACATATACGTATGTAAATACACCATTATTTATCGGATACACGCATTTACATTTCGGTATATGGTGGTCAATGAATTGAAGTCAATCTAACAATTTATGTTGACACTGATCCATGGGACACTAACAGTAACAGATAATGACACTCACGTGGGTATCGTAGGTTTTGGTTAATTCATTGCAAGCCAATCAAAGAGTACACTGTACACTGGATAAGGCGAGGACTTGGAGAAGGCTTGACTTGATGAATTTGGTTTAAATACGGCTCTATTATTTTGGGAAACCAATTAGCTACATTGCAATCGCATACACCTTCGTTTCTATAGATTAATTGGAACATTAAAATTTGAGACGGCAAATGCATAGCATAGCTCGCAAGTGTTAAATAATGACTTGCAGCGCATGACGATTGTTTTGCAGTCATATGGTTCTACAACACGTTCTTGCTGCAATATTAATATTATTGCTGACATGGATATACCTGGATCCCAACAACTCACAAATGTGATATGAAATGCAATAACACGGAATGCCCTAACGCATCAAAATGTAACGAAACCCTAACTCTTAATCCGTAACTGAACCGCAACAATATTCCATTTCTATTTTTTGTCCAAAAATAAATAATTTGACTTTAATATACCATTCTAGTGGGTGTGATAGTCTGAAATGTAAGGAGAGGGAGGGAGACAATGCTAATGGTGGCTGGTTGGGATGTTAGAATGATACATGATATGTTAAAGATGGGGGTGTAAGTGGTTATAATTAATGTGCGAACCTGAACTGGATATCAAATTGGATATCAAATTTCCTGAAGTGTTATTCTCTCAAGATCAAGTAAAAGCTATCATATTCACATATACTCAAGTTCCATTGAGTGGATGATCTCTAGTGAATGATCCTGCAACCTCTGTAACCTTCACATTAGCATAAAGTCAATTAAGAGATCTCAAGTGGTTGTAACCTTCATATCTTCATCCTTATTATAAGTTAAACACTTGTAACCTTCAACCCTCTATGTTGTTAACCATGAAGAGACTTATTAGGGAGAACATTTGGAATGTCCGATACAATGTTTGTGGTTGGAAATTTGTAACGCTTGGAGACTAAGAATTTGGTTGTACTTAAAGATGACAAAAAAAATTTGTACCCACAAATATCTATAGATAAAACTCACTATAGATTATACATAGATAATTAAATGAGAGTCCTTTTTATAATGTGATGGGGACAAATAATAAGGTATTTGTTCTCTTAAAAAGTTAATAAATACTTTTAATTATATAAAAAATAATTTGATTTACTTTATCTTTACTATAAATATATATCACAATTATTTGTTTTTTAAACAAATATATGTTACAAAATTATTTTATAATATAAATATGTTTTAAAATTATTTATTTTAGTTTTATTTTATTTCTTATATTTTTTATTTAAAGTTTTACATTTTAATCAATATCCACATGATACTTGTGGATACTTATGAATATGTAAAAAATTCATAGATACCTATTAAATGGATACTCACACTAATTGGGTCGGGTGACGGGCCCCACCCCACATGCCATCCCTAGTTGTATTATCTGGTTGAGTAGAGAATTCCTTTAATAAAGAAAGGTCTGAATGTAGGTCTTATGTAAAGAATGAAACAATATAGAACTATGTAATTTCTTTCTTCATGCTCCTTTACAATTTAGGACAATGTTTATTATATATTTTATATTGCTAAAACACTAACTAATTTTGATTGAAAAAGTTTTATTGAAAGTTTTTAAATACATAACTCAACCTCTCTTCTTGTGTGTTAACATGTATTTTTCACTTTTATAATCCATAATCCACTATTAGCTAAAAATGTGGCCCACTAAATAAAGAATATTTCCAAGATAGGTCTTTAATGGCCCCTTTGATCCCTTTCTCTCTCCTCTTCTTCCTCTATCACCTTCGTCATTGCCTCCACCATACATCCCCTCCTTCTGCTTCCTTTGTCTCCCTTTGCTACCTCTCCCTTTGTCGCCTCCTCACTCGAAATAGTGTGTAGTTTTTCCTCATCAACACACTTGTGAACTCAATCAACAAAGATGCCATTAGATTCCATTAACCCATCACAAGAATTCTTAGGCAAATTCAAAGGCCAAATGAGTGTTCTACAAATTAGGCAACCCAAGTGAGAGCAAAACCACATGTCTATGTAAATAAAATGGAAATAGTGTTTGCAGAATGGAATAGAAACTATCTTATTAGTTCCTATATATAAATAGGAAGAGAGTCCAACAAGGGAGGATAAATATTAGTTTTCATTTTTACTTAAACTTCATGAATATTATTGCGTAAAGTAACATGCTTTCACCCATTTTTTTCTTACTAATTGTTCCAAGGATGTAAATATTATATATAGTTATATAATCATAATATAGAAATCCAATCCATTAAAATTGTTATAATTTTTTTTGTCAATTATGGAAGATTTGTTTTGTAGGTTAAGAAGATATAGATTAAGAAAAGGAGGGAAGAGAAGAAAATTGAAATTGGGGAAGATTTATGGAAAAAAATCATTTATCTCCACCAACTCAAAAAGGCTTAAGCCAATAAATCAAAAGTGCTTAAGCCATTTCAGAAAAATTGATGATTGCAATCTGCCAAAAAAGACTTAAGCCATTTCAAGTTTAAGCCATTTGACTTTCTTAATGATGAAGTAATCCAAAAACAACTTAAGTCATTCCTAAAAGGCTCTAATCATCCAATTTGATGCAACAAATAATTACCTATTATAAATCAAAACATATTTAGAGGGGAAAAATGAAAACCCAAACACTCTAGAGACATTTATATCTCATTCATCACACACTCTCTCTAATCTTAAAGACCATTCAAGATGAAGATTTTGGTGACAATTCCAACAGTTCAAGAACGAAATGATTATAATTTCTACTAGAATTTTCTTTTTCTTTTCTTCTTTTATTAGTTGGCTTTCATGGAAATGAGTAGCTAACCTTTTCTTTTTGGGATTTGATGTAATCTATTGCACCTTAATTAATGTAACTATTGATTTTCATATATATTATGATCTCTTCTACTTATTAGTGATTCATTTTTGTTCTTAATGCCTTTATGTGTTGTGGTCACTCATATTTGAAACTTTGATTTAGAACTCAATTGGAAAAATGTTTTTTGGGTAATGATTTGAAATGAATCACCTAATGGTTTAAGTTGCAAGGAATAAAGCTAAAACTCATTAGTCTTTAAAGGATTTTCTTAATGCAAGTTATCCTTTTTAAATATGCAAGGAATTGATATTTCAGGAGAAAAATTTAGAATCTCTTTATTAAGGAATTAGTATTTAAGTGACTCTAATTATAAATAATATTGTAGGAGAGAGATTAACATATGTATGTTTATTAAGGTTCCAAAAAGGTGTAGTAAGTGAAATCCAATCCCAAACATCTCATATGCATGAGAACTTCTCTAATACTTATTTGCATGTTTTTCACTTATTTTAAGTTTTATTAATTTGAATTTTTAGTTCAATGAATCAAATGTTGAACATTTGTGAATATGGTGTATATGTTTATTTCTTGTTTATCTAAACTAATTGAGAATTAATTAATCAACCAAACTTAGTTCCTAAGGAGAGGATCTTACTCATGACTGTCAGAAGTTGACTATGGTTCACTTACCACGTGATCAACTATAAGGGAAAGGGAATCACAATGAGATATAAAGGAAGGGGAGAAAATAGGGGGGAAATTTGGTACTGAAAGTATATCGTATTATTTATAAGAATTAGAAGGATCTAACAATGTATTTAAAACTTAGTATTTTTACAAGTATTTATTGTTAATACTTATTATTTTCACAAGTATCTGTTACATGTGTTTATGTTGGATAGAACGCTTACCACTAAGTCAAAAGTTATAACTATTAGTCAAGTCACAATATTTTCTACTTAACCATAGCAATTCAAGCGTCACGTGTTGATTGTGACTTGGTCTACCTGGGCCTTCACCACTGGACAATTAATGCCACTGACAAACAATCTTTCCCTCAGCAATTGCTCTCGCTAAGAATCGACCACATAACCTTGGCTTTGATACTAATTATTAAATCAAACGCTTATCACTAAGTCAAAAGTTATAACTATTAGTTAGGGCACAACTCTCTCTACTTAATTGTAGCAACCCAAGCACCACGTGTTGACTATGACTTGACCCACTTGGGCCTCCGCTACTGGACAATTGATGTCATTGACAAACAATTTAAAACTTTCACTACAAGAAAAATACAAATTATTGACGGATAATTTTCGACAGGAAAAAATTCGTAGGAAAAGTTATATTACTGAGAATAATTTCCGATGGATACAAATATGCTAGAAAATTTATATTTTCAACGGATACAAATCAGTCGAAAAATTTATATTTCTAATGGATATATTCGTCAGTAATTTCTGATTGATATATTCGTCAGTAATTTCTGACATATATAAATCTGTCGAAAAATATATTTTCGATGAAAAAAAAATCATAGGATTTACAAAATTTACATTTAATATAAAGTTATTGAGTGGTGTAATACTTAGTAAAATTACACGGGTGTTATTATAACCCATCATATATATATATATATATATATGTGTGTGTGTGTGAGAGAGAGAGAGAGAGAGAAAGAGAGAGAGAGATATTTAATATGATAGCTAAAATTGTATTAGAGATTTTTTTTTTACTAAACTAGTAAGATAAGACTTGGTTTAAATATTTTAAGAGACTAAAATATTTTAGTATTTCTACACTTTTAATTTTATTTTTTGCATACAGTCTTAAACAAATAACATAATATTACATTTTTTTATTAATTTTTAAATATGTTAAAAACTGCAAAAACCAAACTAAACCCTAAAATATTAGTTTGATTTAGTTTAAATTTCATAATTCATTTAAATTGAATCCCATTTAATTTTCTTATTTGGTTTGAATGATTTTTAAGGTAAAAATCGAATCAAATTGCACTGCTAATATCCTACACAAGATTCAAACTCAAAATCTTGTTTAAGAAGAGCAAGTTTTATATCCTGAAATATTGTGATTTGTTTAAGAGATTAATCTCTTGAACACATATAATTTTTTTTATATATATAAATACATATTTACGAATTAAATTCTGACCACACATAATTATTTAGAGGTAATTAAGGTTATTAATCACACTACTAGTTTTCATTGATTGATTATTAAGTGATCGACCAAAGAAACGTTATATGGTTAGGATGGGAAATTAAAATATTTGTTCGTCCTAAGCAACTTCCGATTCAAATGTGATCTAACATGTAGGGAAGAGCAATAGCGTGTACTATTTGGAAATATAGAAACATGTGTATGTTTAGAGGAGGTCAGTTTGGCAGAAAATTTATACCGAAAGAGATTCTTGAATCAATTTGGTTTTGGCTAGTGTTTCCAAAAGTCATTCAATTATTGTTTCTTCCTGTGGTCCTTAATTTCATGATTGTGTTTGCAAGACTAGGGTATAGACGGTGGATATATAGCAGTAGGGATGACTCTAAATGGGTGAGGTCATAATTGTACTACATGTTGATGTCATAAACATGTATTAATAATTAGAATTATCACATTTGAGATATCACTATAATAAAATGAACGTTTAGTGACATTTAATATGATTTTTAATGATAATAAGAATTGTTACAAAATTTTTTACCGACATTTCACACATTAGCCATTGTATGCAGTGTCGCTAAAACATTTACCGGCAATTCTTATATGCTGGTAAAGACCCTCATAATAGTTGGGAAAAGTGTATAACTTTCTGTGTCATTTGTTACCAGCATTTAAAATTGCCGCTAAAAGTTTAAGAAAAGATTTATAATACTCTTTAATTACTTATTTCTAGTCGATGTAGGACTTGTAAGATAAGTACAAATATTCTTTAGTTACCTTATTTCTAATTGATGTGGGACTTAGAAGATGAAGGTTATCTTTTAAGTATATATTCTTTAAATTTTTTAATTATCTTATCTCCTAAATACCAACTTAGAATAATAAGTTATAGGCCTAACTCAACCTTATAAAATATACTTGTAAGGTGAGAGTTATCATTCACTTATATACTCTTTAATTATTTTATTTCTAGTCGATGTGGGACTTAAGTTTTTTCTAACAAATAATTGTCGTTAATAGTAAATTTTGATGTGATGTAAGTACATTTTTAGTGACTATTATATAATAGTCATTAATATTTTTATTAAATAATAAAATAGAGGTAATTAAATTATTGTCATTAAATAATTGTTGATATTACTAAATTTTGTTGTAGTGTATATATTATCTACTTTCACGCTTGTTAGATTGTCACAATTTTATTCTTTAAAATACGTCTTAGTGAATTAAGGAGGGAGAGTATTTATAAACTACCTTTAATCTCAACTCTTAAATAATATAGAATTTTTTAGGCATATCAAAACAATAGAAAAACTTAATTGTGGGAGGCCCTGATTATATGTAGTACAGAGTTAGTGGAATAATGGTTTATTACTTTCACGGGTGGTAGGATTGTAGTTTTGGTTTGTAGTGAGTGGTTAGAGGCATAAAATTTGTGTGGGGGCTTTTGTTTGACATTTTGAATTTAGTGTAGAATTTGCCTTACACAATTACACATTATATCGAATTTTTTCGACAAGTCAGTGTTGAATATCATATTATATATGGGTTTGGTGTCCTTTATCCTTCAATATACTATTTCTTTGATGTCTAAAAAAAAATAAAAAAAAAAAATAAACATGTAGGGCAGACCACGCACGTTTATCAGAAGTATATCAAGCGAGCTCAAACGAGTACCGTTCATTTATGTGTTCCAAATTATGCAGTGTGTATACATGAGTAGTTAAATACTCTATCAGTTGGGGGTCCCATCATTTGGCTATATCTGAATCTGAAGAACAAACCTATAATTGCATATGGTCCTAATTACTTGGTATATCAAAGAACATAATAATTGTTATTCGTATATGTACAGAACATGGTCTATAAATTAGCATTATAATTGGTATTCATTCCACAACACACCTCTCTCTCCAATGGCACAACAATTATCGGTTATCAACCCTTCTTACTGTGTTCCTGACTCTCTCGATCTACAAATTAATACAAAAAAAGGTGCCGCTTACAACAAAAACGGCGACCTTGTCTTTAAGGTAATAAAAGAGACTTGGTTAACACTTCACCACCGTCGTGTCTTGTATGATGATAAAGGAAACCCCATCGTCACTCTATACAAAAGGGTAAGCCATCTTAATATCTTATATTCATCCATTTTCTTGTGTTAATCCAATTTTCCGACCAATATATATTTTCGTTCCATATTATATGTTCTTAATAATTTCTAATTTTGTAGAATAAGACATTGCACGGGCGGTGCCAAGTTTTCAGGGGTAAAAGCAATGATCTCTCTCAATTGCTCTTTTCAGCGAAGAAGTCGTCAATGATCCAAAGTGATAATATTATTAGATTAGATGTCTACCTCGCAAACAACCAAGATGAAAGCATGTGTGACTTTAGAGTCATCATTTCTGGAAATAAAAGCACGTGCACCTTTTATTTCCGTGAATCTCCAACAATTGTTGCCAAGGTATATATGTTACGAGTATTAACTTTTTTACACACCAATTAATTTAACTAATTTTTATTTCAGATGAATAAATATAATTTGGTTTCTCTCTTTTATAGGTAGTTAACAATGGTGACTTCAGAGTTTGCATCAGTCCCAACGTGGACCACGCATTCATAGTGGCACTAACTATAATTGTTAGCAAAATGGGAAATTTTAAAAAGCTTATGAGTAAGTTGACGAATACTGCAAATGTGGCGATGGGAGGTATCGCAACTGCCGGGGCAATAGCTTCAGTGTATGAAGCACTAAACACAGAAGGAGAAAACATGGAAGAAGAAAACTTGGAAGAAGGAAACTTAGAAGGAGAAAACTTGGAAGAAGAAGAGTTAGATCCAGATCTATAAGTGGTTTTTGCTAAGTGAATAAGTATTGGGAAAAACCCAAGTCCCACATCGACTAGAGATTAGGCAATTGAATAGTATATAAGTGGAAAGCAACCCTTACCTTAAAAGCCGGTTTCGCCAATCCTAGATCATTAAAAAGGGCCACCCACCATTTATCCACGTACCAAGCCCAATAGTGCTGGACGTGAGGGGGTGTATTGGGAAAAACTCAAGTCCCACATCGACTAGAGATTAGGCAATTGAATAATATATAAGTGGAGAGCAACCCTCACCTTACAAGCCGGTTTTGTAGGGTTGAGTTAGGCTTAATCCACTATTCTAAAAAGGAGTTTATATTAAATGTCAATACAGATTATCAAGAGAAAACTCCATTGAAGAAACATTAAAAACATGTATAATACATCTAGTTAGAATTATAGGGTTTAGTTTTCATTTTCAGACATTTCTGCTTCAGTGTATGAAACACGTTGAGAAGGTATAAACGTATAATTATTTTCACGGTCTTTTTTTAATTTTTTTTTATTTTTTTTATTTACTTAGAGTAATACCTTGCTGTAGGACTTTCAAGAAGCTACTTCTGATTAACTTCGTTGTGTGTAGTTTTGTTTAGCTCACAGTATGTTCATCCATCATTTCATTGATTTAGTGTTTTTTGTATTTATTTTTTTATCATGATATAGTTACGATAATCGTGAACTTACATAACCTAAATATTTGGAAAGGATGGTTGAAATCATGGTTTTAAATTGCGGTTGCGGTCGCGGTTGCGGTCTTAGTTATATGCAAATCCCCATCACTGTCTTTTCTGTGTTGAGTGTCCTTTACTTTTTGGGTATAAATACAAAAAACAAAAGGGAACTTTTTGTTCCTTTAAGTCCTATTTAATTTGAAGCTCTGTTTAATAACTTGCACTTTACAATTGACACGTTTTGATCTAAAGAAACGTAGTATTTCATCCGACTTTTACCGTACTTCTTGCGCAGTGAAGAAATAATGAGTAGTGTTTTGTTTTATTCGAAACAAGCTACAGCTAAATGTTTGATCAATTGACAAGTGTCAAGTGTTACCTTTAATACGGTCCTAGAGAATCATTGTTTTTGTTGAGTGTTATTGTGTTGAAAATATGTTATGTACTGCTATATGAATGTTTCTGTTATGAAGCTTGGTTTTGGGTTTACTTTCAGCTTTATGGCTTAGACTTCCTAGTAATTTTTATGCTTAAATTATATGCTCATAGTAATCTTTCTATTGATTTAATTTCCAAACATGGGGGCTACACAAAGTTTCAGCATGTCATAACCAGAAGTAGTGTATCATTCCATTGTATTTGATGTTCTGACTCACTGAATACTATTAATAAACTTGTGTCAGAGGCTTTGCAGCTATATATTTCTTCCTGATTTTTATGTTTCATTGTTATTGTCATGTCCTGCAGTGCCTTAACAGGAAGCAATTTTCTGTCTTGAAGTATCAAGCAAAAACAAATGAGGTCAGTTGACTCAGTTCACAGAGAGTTTTACTTTGGAAGAAAACTGTCATCAGAGTCTGCTAATCCTTTTGAGCAAATTAGTTCTTCATACGATTAAATTAACAATAACCATAAGTTACGCTGCTCTGTGTCATAGGCCGTTACTGTTGAAAATTCTGCACCTGTACAGGTCAATAGACCTAAAGTTGCTTCACCAGAAGAGAAAGTTGACCATAATGGAAAACCCTCTGGTCCAAGCACTTCCGTTGATGCATCTTCAATTTCTGCATTTATGAATCAAGTTGCAGATCTTGTTAAGTAAGACTAAGCTGCTGCGCTTTGCATACACTTGCATGTTTGCTCTCTTTTCTTAAATCAACATTAGTATATGAAACATTTACATATTCTTATGCAAGTGGATTCGGAGCTAACTCAACCTTACACAATATTATATTATTTCTGGGGGCAGACTTGTGGACTCTAGAGATATTATGGAGCTTGAACTTAAACAAGCAGACTGTGAGCTCGTGATAAGAAAAAAGGAAGCATTACAGCCTCCACCAGCTACTGTTATGGCTCCAGTGTCACAACCATATCCATATCCCACACATCCTATGCCGGTACCACCACCACCCGTTGCTGCTTCCGCTCCTGCAAGCCCTCCACCTTCAAAAGCCTTACCTGCTCCTGGAAAAGAAAGCACATCATCTCATCCACCGCTGAAAAGTCCAATGGCTGGAACCTTTTATCGAAGTCCAGCGCCTGGCGAACCTCCATTTGTCAAGGTATGTATCAGTTTTACTTAACAAAACATGTAATTTAAACAGTGAACTTTTTTTGAGATGTTGATTTAGAAATCATTCTATCGGTATTTACAACTAATTATTAACATGCTTGCTGAATAAAATAATGGATAGCCTTATTCTTTTGTTTGTTTCTGTATTTCAGGTTGGAGATAAAGTGCAGAAAGGGCAGGTCGTTTGCATTATCGAGGCTATGAAATTAATGAATGAAATTGAAGTATGTGATTATTCTGCTTTTTTTTCTACTTTTACTAATATTACTATCTTATTTTGCTTTTCTCTTTACTTTGGAGAGAAATGCTTCTGACACAATCTTTACTATTAGCTGAAACTTGTTGAAAATCACAAATTGTGTGGATCTTATTTCTAATTTAACGAGTCCTGCTTGTGATTTTGTTATTTTCAATAAATTTTAAGCTATATAAGAGAGAGTATGTTGCTTATTAGCACTTCTCTATTTTGGATGATAGTGTCATATTCTAAGATACATAGATCCATATAAAAGGCACCCTCAGTATATACACAAGAAACAGACCTGTAAAAGCTGTATGAACAATTGCACAGTTTCTGTTGCTTACATACTTCATCTTATTCAGCTGCATTAGCTCTAGTTACTTATTTAACCAATAAAATTTGTAATTACTTGATTCTCTTTCATGGCTTTTTAGGCTGATCACGCAGGAACAATAACCGAGGTAATAGCTCAGGATGGTAAAGCAGTCAGTTTAGACACGGTACTCTCTCTCTTCCTCTCTCCCTCCCTCCTAACATTTTGCATAATTTCTCTAACTGAAACGTTAATTTGTGCTTCATGCAGCCTCTTTTTGTAATTGTACCATGAAGTACCAGAACTTCGAAGTTGATGGAAACTTCCCTTGTTGGAAAACATGCCACAAGATTCTTATAATGACCCGAGTTTTTCATTATTCAAATTTCTTATGCTATAATGTTCGTCCTATTTTAGGAATTCCTTCTTTAAAAAGACAACCAAGGCATAAAGCCCTAGCATATCAAAAGGAATATTGGAACTTGTAGTTCTAAACAGTTTTGTTTTTTGTAGTGTTATAAACCTTATGCATCTGGTTTCTCAAGGATGAACCTGCTAACTGATTTTACAATAATTTGTTCTAGCATGTTTATGTGGGGGTAAAGGATGAATTACAAGTAAAACAATGTTCTGGTCCGCATTTCAAATAGAAACTTCTCCTTTCCCAACCGGCCGAGTCACCGGTTTTATCCCGGTCTAAAACTGAGTTGATGACATCACCTCTTATGCATGTTTGGTATGATAAAAGGGCCACAATGCCACATTGGCTATAGATTTAATTTCTAGTTACTCGAGTGGATCCAAATCGAGTTTAATAATACTAGGGAAATGTAAAAATTTCTCTCAACATATAAATTAGAATAGCTATTTTGAACAAAAAGATTTTTAATAGTTATTCTTCGGTTAGAGTGTTTTTATAATTTTTTAATGAGAGTATTTTTATGATTTTTCTTTTTTGAAATCTTTCATCTTTCTATTTATCCTTTTGAATTTTATTTCTAAATTGAATTTTAATAATTTTTTTTATCAAAAGTTAAAAATAACCTTATATCCTAATATGAAATATTTATCATAAATTTTAAATATAATTTATATTTTAAAAAATATTTATTTAATATAAACTTTAATTATAATATAACTTGTTTATTATAAATTAGCCAAAGAGAAATGTTGCATCTTTATATTTAATTAAAAAACAAAACAAAATAAATAGATATATGTGCCCTTGAAGTGAAGAGAAAGAAGAGAAATGCATGCAATAAAAGTGATAGAAATTGATTTAAAAGTAACTTATTGTTATTATAAGGCATAGATTAGGATTTTTTTAATACTTTTTTAAGGCATCTTATAATTTTCAAAAGTATTTTTTTTATTTATCTTTATTAAAAATCACGAGAATGCATGTTTTTTTCTAACTTCTTAAATTCTTTTTAGTTGACATTGATTATTTTTGTTGGTATTGATTTATAAGTTTTAATATAGAATAATATTTTTACTCATGAAAATTTAATAATAAATAAATAAAAAAATTGTTAAATCATGATTTTATTTTATAAATTTAATAAAATCAATTAACATAAATATTTATATTGATATGTGTTACTTAGTTAAAAATATGTAATAATAAAGATTAGAGAGAGAGGAATAAACATTTAAGTATAAAAAGGTAAACCGAGACATAAAAAAGTTACTAATACCTAAAGAGTCTGCATAAAGTAAAAAATTAGTGTCTCTTAGGGGATTTGCCAAGATGCGAAACGGTGTCTTCTCCTTAGTCCCTTGCTTTGCCAGCACATCCGAATTCTGCACCTGTACAGGTCAATAGACCTAAAGTTGCTTCACCAGAAGAGAAAGTTGACCATAATGGAAAACCCTCTGGTCCAAGCACTTCCGTTGATGCATCTTCAATTTCTGCATTTATGTTGAAATGGATAAAATGTCCATCTCATACAACACTTCAACTTTATTCCAACATCTTTATCATCTAATCACTACAATCATGGAGAACTTTATAGTATGGCAACGATTCGAATAGTGTGGATGCATAGGAATACGTGTAGGTTTGAAGGTGTGATTTTTAATCGGGAAAACACAGTCAAAGAGATTATGTATACTTCGTGGCAGTGGATGAAGTTGCTTAACAAGGAGTTCACGATTCCTTTTGCCCAGTTGTTCAGTAACCCAGGCCAATGTTTGGTGACACTGAAAGATTGATCGATCGATGGTTTCACAACGGTAGAAGAAGGACAACAAAACCAACGCTGGCAGTCAGAATAATTAGAGGATATCAAGTAGGAAAAGAGCATCAAGATTGGGCTGTTTGTTTCATCGGGTTGTAGCCGTTGTTAAAAAAAAAGGGGTGTAGTATGATTTGGGTTGTAATCATCTGTTTTTCTTTTTGGTTTCGTGATAATTTGGAGCAAATGATCTAAATTATAAGTAATCATTTATTTGTAAACTTGGGTTGTGACACCCTAGTGCCACCATAATATATTTTGCTGTTTCAAGAAAGAAAACCTAAATATTTTTCTTTTTTAATGATGTATTTCATATTAATTGTTTCAATCAATGTCGGGATTTGATTGTTGATGCTTAATGTCAAGTTACTATTTCTACGATCTCCATTAATTGCCAGTCTGTCATTGGCCTATATATTGCTACTGTTTTACATTTTTATTTTATTTTTGAATTTGTTATTATGTAGTTGCGTTCAAACACATTCTGAGTCTGTCAAACATTTACAATCATGTGAGCCAATACATAGAAGTACAATAATGATTTTTTCGATATATATTTATTACTCAAGTAAAGTTACTATATTTTATATGTTCTTTATTATTTATTTTAATATGATACTTTTTAGACAAATTTTCGTGAAACTTATTAAGTTTTTATGAAACTTAAAAGAATATCCAATACATTAATTAATAATATATATATCTTTGTTCCTCTAGCTAATAGTAATATATTAGCTCTCTTCTAAAGTTTTTTAATTATTTTTTTACTACCATATAATATTAATTTTCACATCATTGATATGAGATGAAAAACAAGTAATACATTGTTACGCCCACTTTATGACTGAAACAATGTTAATTAAAATAGTTACATATATAAAAAATCTCATTATTTTGTTTAGTCTTCAAGAAATAATAAATTTTATATTAATTAATTTTTTTCTTTCAATATATTGTTGCTTAAAGAGCATAATAGATGTATGAAAATTATAACATATTCTTCAAATTAAGAAATTATTAGAAATGTTACATTTCACTTTTTGGGCATTTTTTTCACTTCTAGTGAAAATCATTTTATTTATATACTATTTATGAAATATGAATCCAAAAATATGACTTTACTTGAACATGATTCGTTGTATAGGCTTGTAGGTTTGTGTCTTTGAGTTCTATGGAGTCAACAACCTATGGTGGATGAACCACGACCTTATGATCATAGTGCGATTAGCGACCTAATAACATTTCTCCTGCAGAGATGTAATCTAGAGTTGTATTATTTTCAACAATCAGAAAGTTTATTTATAAACATATATAATTTAAAATAGGATAATAGTATTTAACTAAAATATAAACAGTAACTATATAGACAACCACCATTAAATATTCATAACAATTTAGGTATAATTCTTTGACAAATTTAATTAAAGGAATCATGGTGCAAAAGTTTGAATAATTCAAATATTGAAATGATCAACCGTTATATATTAAAAATGAATCTCTAAGGAATGATAATGGGTAGAGTCTGGGTAGGATCTTATAATACACGTCCCTATACCCACATTTAAAGACAATATTTATACCTAGCTCCATACTTACACAAGTAGCAATTTTAATCCATATCCTCATACATGTTGGGTACTTGTGTACTTATACCTGCACGCAGCACCCATATTTTACTTATGTATAAAGTAAATAAATTAATAAAGAGACAACATATCACACAAGCAAACATAAAATTAATTTATCAGGTATTTAATATTATGAAAATCTAATATAACAATTCTTATAAATAAAGATTACAAAACATTCAATTCTTGTGAATAAACTTTAAAAAAAATTCAACATAATAAAGTTGTAATTAAACTTCGAACATCATGATCATGTGTTAACAATATTCTTTAAGATCTATGAAAAAAATTATACAAAAGTTAGTTAGATTAAAATATATACTATAAATTCAAAAAACCAATATGTAAACATTTAACATCATCATCAAAATCAACTTCTCCATACTTTTGTAAACACTTGTCTTCTAAGTATATATCATTTTGGTCCAACAATATCATTAGAAATCACATGACAAGAAAATGAATGATTAGATAATTTAAATTAATAATTAAAACCAACAATATAAAATAAAACAACTTTTATTATTAAAAACAAAATTTAATCATTTATTACTTTATTGCTTGTGTTTCAACGAACTTTGTGCACACATAAGTGTCTATAGAGTAGATTTATGGAGCCTAAAATGATGAGGACTCAAAAATCTATCTCCTGTGTTAAATGCAAATTTTGAAGCTACAGTTGAAATTGGAATTGCCAAAATATTCTTAGCAATTTTTTACAAAATTGGATATTTGATCTCATTTATTTTCCACTATCCTAAAATGTCAAAATTAATACTCCTAGGCAAAAAAATTTCTTCCAAGTAGACAAAACTCCAACTCTTAGGCGATTCAAGGTGGAAATGTAAGCAACGCAAGCAATGATGCAAGGAGGAAATGTGAGCGACAACGTGAAAAAGAGATGCGAGCGACAACAATGCAAGGTGGGACATGAGGCAAACAATGGAGGTGGCACAAGGATATGGCAAGTGGCAGCAACAAAAGGTGGGATGTGAGGCAAACGATGAGCGGTGACACAATGGGTGGGTGAAGAAGCCAAATTATAAGAAAAAATGAGGTTAGATAGAATTTCAGTTATAAATAGAGTCCATCAAATGAAGTTGGGAAATTAGATATGCAACGGGTTCTTATGCATATGTGGTAGGTAGTTTGATGTATGCAATGGTGTGCACAAGACCGGATATAGCACATGTTTTTGGTATGTAGACACCCAATTTCGTCCGGGGGGCAAACAAACAGCAAGATAGGACATCAGAGGGCCCAAAGGCCCAAACCAATTTTTTTAGTGGCCCGGAACGGGCCGTTCCAAAATCGGAACGGGCCGTTCGAAAATCGGAACGGGCCGTTCCCAAGTCCGGAACGGGCCATTCTCGATCAGAACGGGACGTTTTGGGCTTCTAAAATGCCTAAAAAGATATAGGTTGGAACGGGCCGTTCTAGACCAGAACGGGCCGTTCCAAACCAATCAAATGGCCTAAAATGTGTATCCCAGAATGGGTCGTTCTAGGGTACAAAGTTAACACTTAATGTTCAGATCCGGAACGGGCCGTTCCGAATCCAGAACGGGCCATGAAACATTTACATATTCTTATGCAAGTGGATTCGGAGCTAACTCAACCTTACACAATATTATATTATTTCTGGGGGCAGACTTGTGGACTCTAGAGATATTATGGAGCTTGAACTTAAACAAGCAGACTGTGAGCTCGTGATAAGAAAAAAGGAAGCATTACAGCCTCCACCAGCTACTGTTATGGCTCCAGTGTCACAACCATATCCATATCCCACACATCCTATGCCGGTTTAAGAGACAAGGACAAGAAATGAATGACAAAGCAGTGTTGTTCCGAGTTGGTTGTGAGTGACATTGATGTTCTCATTGATATCATCGAAGCCTCAGTGTTAAAATCAGTGTTCCTCCTTTGTACTCTCCATCATCCCTTGCATTCAGTGTTTCGCTTTTCTCTTCTTCATTCCTCGAATTCATCGCCTTCACAAACCCTTATATTCCCACTTTTCCATTTCCACCATTTCTTGCAGATCACAGCGCCGTTTTAGCTCAGAAGCCAGAAAATTCGATTTTTGATTCGTGGGGTTGGTTCCAAATGGCGTCGTTCACGGTCCCTTGCCCCAAGTGCGTTCCTTTTGCTCGTTTGGGACTGAACTCTCAGACCCAGCAACGGAACGCGCCAATGGTCTCGTATGGGAGCGGGTTGGCCTTGAAGACATCACTGTCATTTGGATCTTCGAATGCACCAAATGGGATTCAGGTGCGTTGATTTGTGAAATATGAATCTGGGTTTGAAGTTTGGATTAGGAATACCTTGTTGATTTGTTCAGATTTTGGATGGTGGTGGTGGTGTCGCGTTCTGTGATTGATTGTTTAGTGTGTGTGCTTGTATGAATAGTGTTTGAGATTTTTTTTTTCTCGAGGTTAGATAGTGATAGGGGAAAATTGGTATTCTGAATTTAGATATTTGGGTGCCATGTTGTTAACTTATTTCTTGTTTTAGCATATTGATTGTTAAGTTTTTGGCTATGCTCTAACTCTGACTATTCTATTATTTTCAGCTTATAAATTAGTTATATGCAAATCCCCATCACTGTCTTTTCTGTGTTGAGTGTCCTTTACTTTTTGGGTATAAATACAAAAAACAAAAGGGAACTTTTTGTTCCTTTAAGTCCTATTTAATTTGAAGCTCTGTTTAATAACTTGCACTTTACAATTGACACGTTTTGATCTAAAGAAACGTAGTATTTCATCCGACTTTTACCGTACTTCTTGCGCAGTGAAGAAATAATGAGTAGTGTTTTGTTTTATTCGAAACAAGCTACAGCTAAATGTTTGATCAATTGACAAGTGTCAAGTGTTACCTTTAATACGGTCCTAGAGAATCATTGTTTTTGTTGAGTGTTATTGTGTTGAAAATATGTTATGTACTGCTATATGAATGTTTCTGTTATGAAGCTTGGTTTTGGGTTTACTTTCAGCTTTATGGCTTAGACTTCCTAGTAATTTTTATGCTTAAATTATATGCTCATAGTAATCTTTCTATTGATTTAATTTCCAAACATGGGGGCTACACAAAGTTTCAGCATGTCATAACCAGAAGTAGTGTATCATTCCATTGTATTTGATGTTCTGACTCACTGAATACTATTAATAAACTTGTGTCAGAGGCTTTGCAGCTATATATTTCTTCCTGATTTTTATGTTTCATTGTTATTGTCATGTCCTGCAGTGCCTTAACAGGAAGCAATTTTCTGTCTTGAAGTATCAAGCAAAAACAAATGAGGTCAGTTGACTCAGTTCACAGAGAGTTTTACTTTGGAAGAAAACTGTCATCAGAGTCTGCTAATCCTTTTGAGCAAATTAGTTCTTCATACGATTAAATTAACAATAACCATAAGTTACGCTGCTCTGTGTCATAGGCCGTTACTGTTGAAAATTCTGCACCTGTACAGGTCAATAGACCTAAAGTTGCTTCACCAGAAGAGAAAGTTGACCATAATGGAAAACCCTCTGGTCCAAGCACTTCCGTTGATGCATCTTCAATTTCTGCATTTATGAATCAAGTTGCAGATCTTGTTAAGTAAGACTAAGCTGCTGCGCTTTGCATACACTTGCATGTTTGCTCTCTTTTCTTAAATCAACATTAGTATATGAAACATTTACATATTCTTATGCAAGTGGATTCGGAGCTAACTCAACCTTACACAATATTATATTATTTCTGGGGGCAGACTTGTGGACTCTAGAGATATTATGGAGCTTGAACTTAAACAAGCAGACTGTGAGCTCGTGATAAGAAAAAAGGAAGCATTACAGCCTCCACCAGCTACTGTTATGGCTCCAGTGTCACAACCATATCCATATCCCACACATCCTATGCCGGTACCACCACCACCCGTTGCTGCTTCCGCTCCTGCAAGCCCTCCACCTTCAAAAGCCTTACCTGCTCCTGGAAAAGAAAGCACATCATCTCATCCACCGCTGAAAAGTCCAATGGCTGGGACCTTTATTTTCTCTACTTTAAGCCTCGTCAACAAACCCTAAATGAACAAGTACATTTGAAATAAGGACGTCATTAGAAACAATGGCTTTATACAAAAAAAAAATATAAAGATCAATCAAACTTGGCATGACTTGTGGATAAAAGCCCAAATGAAATCAGTGCAAGGGGTATCCCCCTCTAATGGAGTAATGACAGATGATCATAAATGCTGCAAAGACAAAAACCCCACAAGAAACTCACTGAGGGGCAGCGCAAAAATTAGAACAAGGTCCGCTAGGAGACCCACAAACAAAAGGGTAGCCTAGGCAAAAGTGAGGATCAAAAAGAAAATGTCCGCTAGGGAACACACCTCAAATAACCTAGGCAAAAGTTAGGACAAAGCAGCATCCCGAGTTGAAAATCAAAAGGCGGCTCGAGAAGATCATTTAATCAATATGAAACCCAAGTCATGGCTTAACTCTGAAGGAAATAATAAGCTAACGCGGAAAATGATTTCCTCACTTTGAATGTACTTGTGCATCAGCCTAAACCACTAGCCTACCTTGACCAGCCATTCTTCTATAAACCATTTTTGAAAAAAATCCTACCAAAACTTTTACAAAAAATATATATATATCCTCTTCCTTTCTTTCCTCTTGACCTATATGGCATTAAGATAAATTTTGAGAGATACACGGAGTATGCACAGTGAACACTCACAAGGAAAAGATGGAGGTGTCCTGGAACAGAGTCTAGGTACACCTAATCTAAGGGCTAACATATCATATCCGGTACAAGCGAGAGGGCTGAACTACACAAACCTTAGGTTAAAGAAGCAACACTGAATTCGACAAGGCTAAAGGATAAAAATCCATGTCATTGATCAATGCGCATAGATTAATTTCTTGAAAATAAAAATAAATTTGCATTTTGAGCATTAGCATAGAAGCATCATTGCATAACATGCATATGGCACAAGCGTGCACAAAAGGGTATTAGTTTTATAAATAAAAAAATCCAATCCATTCCT